TTGGTGAAAAAATGAATTCACATTATCATATTACTAATAAATTTTGTGTAGTCTTAAATTTATTAAATTTTTATTTTCACCTACTTAGTCTTTCACGTTTTTATTATAATTTATGGGTTCTAAAAAACAAATAAATACGGGTTATTGTGTATTAAATGAATATTTTAAAACTTAAATATTTTTAAAAAACATTTTGGTTTATGTGGACAAGTTAGATGGAGAGAGAACTCCCTAATTATATATATTAGATTACAATAACTCATACAAAGAAAGGAACTGTAATGATGGATATATGTAAGAACTAAGAAGGATCAAAAGAGTTTGTGTGATCAAGAAGTACAATGAAATGGAAAAAAACTTTTTTTAAAAAATGCTAAATTGGAGACAAAGGGAACGATTGATTATTAGGGTCAAAATTTAGTGCTAATGACCAAATCATCCATTAAGTATCAATTATCAAATCATGCAAACAAAATTTTATATAAGCTATGTCTCTAAGTTGCTTCGCTACTCGAGACAATCACATATCGTATTTAACTTAAAATCAACAACATGTATAAAAAAAAAATCAAAGATTCATGGATCGATTTCATGATGATCATGCAGGAAGATCTATACTATCCACCGTCATCTGTACAAGATTTGTTTTGGAAATGTGTTCGTATGTTATCGGAGAACGACTTAAGCCTTTGGCCCTTCAACAAGCTCATATGGCAAAGAGCTCTCCGGACAGCAATGAAACTCATTCACTACCACGATGAATCAACTCGATACATTACTGGTGGAGCTGTGCCAAAGGTTTCTTTCTTATTAACAAATTTTACAATCTGAAGAATTTTCTTAAATACGATTTGTAACAAAGTAATTGTATGTTCCTTATATAGCCATTTCATATACTTGCTTGTTGGGTGGAAGATCCGGAGGGTGATTATTTTAAGAAACATCTTGCTCGATCGAGTCTCTGGTTTCGTATGGATTGGTGAGGATGGTCTGAAAATTCAGGTAAAACTCCGAACCACACCTGGTGAGACATATAACCAAATGCATGTCATGTCACTACCTATTTATTAAAGAAAAATTAACATCATTGTTTTGTTAGATTTTATGACTGCGCAAATTCATGGAAGTTTTTTTGTGAAACGTTTTCAGTTTGAAAGTTTAAGATGCGAATAAAATTCGTTAAAAGTTTTAGTGGATGTCCCTTTAAAGTTTTTTTTATGCGATTTTTGGTTTTTGATTGATTAGCTAATATGTTTGTGTATATATATACAAAATCATAACTTGAATTAGAAAGTTATTTACAAATATGAGAATAAGAAATCAACCAATCTATTAATAAGGAAATCTACACAAAAAATTAAGTTCCTAATTATGTTACTTGTGCAGAGTTTTGGTAGCCAAACGTGGGATACAGCACTATCGCTTCAAGTCCTCTTAGAAAGTGATGATGATGATGAGATTAGATCAACACTAATCAAGGGATATGACTTCTTGAACAAATCTCAGCTTACAGAGAATCCTCCAAGTGATCATATAAAAATGTTTAGATACATAACAAAAGGTGGATGGACCTTTTCGGACCAAGATCAAGGATGGACCATTTCGGATGGTACTGCTGAGAGTTTAGAGGTGCGATCGAGTAGCTTTTCTTTTTGCATTCTTCTAAGTTCTAACTAACAAATTTTCTTCAGTTCTCATATACTAATTATCAGTCTTCGTGACCAGTGCTGCCTAATTTTTGAAAGCATGTCGTCTGATTTGGTTGGTGGTGAGAAAATGAATGTAGAGAGGCTCTTTGATGCCGTTAACTTACTTCTCCATCTTCAGGTAAAATTATCTACCAAGATACTAATTTAAACAATTTTTGTATATAAAAGTATTAGCTCGTTACATTATTTGACTATAAATGGTTGCAAAATATATACTAAAATTAATAGAGTGGCAATGGAGGCCTAACGGTGTGGGAACATGGGAGTAGAGGTACTTACCAATGACTACCATGCATGTCTCTATTTATTAATTGGCCACAATCTTAATTACGGTCTTAGCAAGAGTTGTAAATTCTATGCAGCGGCTGAGTCCGATGGAGTTTGCAGAAGACACGATCGTGGAACATGAGTACTCTATCTTTATCACACTTTCCATTTATCGTATTTCTTTGGGATATAATGTATAAACTAAACCAACTTTAATTAATGGACAGATCCGAAACCTTGACATTTTTCTAAGAATTACACAAACTAACGAACTCAGTTAATAACTACGTAAACTATTAAAACTCGGTTTTAAACTTGTGTAAAACAAAAGGTTTTGTA